CAAGAATCTGGACTGTATGGTGTCCCTCTTGCTCAGGTCCTCCCTTCTTTCAGTTTAGCTGCTGTGAAATCTCTGACAAATTTGGAGCCCACCAACATCACTGGCTGCTGGAAGGAATAAATATTCTTCTTCCTCCTCTTCAGAGGCTCCCTTTCACTCTGAGTGCTTTTACAGAGTCTTCATGCTTCTTTCCTAGCCTGCAGCTTTCTGGAGATGGATCGTCTCCACTGCATAGCTCGAAACATTTCTAGGCCACAGCAGAGTGAAAGCTCACCAGGAAATCTTCTCAGTTACATGGCTTTTAATAGAAATCCTTGAGGTGGAACTGTCAAAAATCAGATCGGTTTCACTCTGCTGAAGCCTGGAAAACCAGCAGAGTAGCTGGAGTCATTTCAGCTGCTTGAGACAGCTCTCTATTAGTTTATCCCAAGTTCATGTTCGTGGGTCTCTGGATCTAGCTTTTTGGTTGTTGCTAAAACTTTTCTTAAATGAGAGTGTAGATTTCTTGAAGAATAAACAGTATAGCAACTTTAAGAAAAATGTTCTGGTACTGAACAAATTGGGCTTTACGGTTGCATTGATTAAATGCTACAGGCTGAATAAGCTCCAGTTATTCTTTTCTTGCACAGCTGAAGCCTGCAATGGAAGTTAATGTTGGGAAAACTTCTTATGCTGTTCTTCCCTAGTAAGTTATCTTGACCCTCAAATGACTTCTTACGGAAGGCAAAAAAATAATTTAAAAAAAACCCAAACTTCTGCACTTGGGTAACAGGAATTAGATTAAGTTCAGCATATTGCCATATGTTCCTGAATTCACCTGTTTCTCCTTTGACTTACAAGTTTAGGTCAAGCAAGTGAGAGGGCACGGTACTGAGAATGAATGGTGGGTGTGAAGGTAAACATTTTAGAGTATGATCATTGTTAGCAGTGAGGTTTCCAGGATGAATCAGATTAGGATTCATTCAGCTAACATATTTTCCATGCAATAGTAAAATTGGACACACACACACGTTAGGAACAAACGCACATGCAGGAAGGAAGAACATTAGGCAGATAGGCAAAATGCTCAATGGAAATGTTTTTGTAACATTTCAATTTTACTTGCCATTAATGTAACAAAACTGTATTTATGTAGACTGCAACACTACCTATTTTTTTTTGAGGTTTAATTCTGTTGCAATAAAGTTTCCAACCCCCCTGTTGACTGGCAGCTTCTCAAGGACGTGAGAGGGCCAGGAGGCCTGAGTACCCGTGCTGCCGTCGTAGTAATGTTACGTGGCTACGGAGACAGCTACGATTTGATCTGTTGAGCTAGATGTCAGCTTCCCAAAATGATGTTGAATCTTTGTTGTGGATCAGGCTTGGAGGGTTCTAAGGAAAAGTGACACTCCTGTCACGTCATTCTGCCATCTCCTCCATCCTTCCTTGTGGAGGTGGCTGAATATAAGTAAATAATTACATGCTGGGCTGTGTTGCATGTGTAAGGAAGCCAGCTATACTCACTTCTTCATGTTGCCTTTGCTCTGTGTTATTGCAGATGCTTGTCTCTGCTGTACAGATCCATTATTACACCTTTTCTCTCCCTGAGGGTCTCCTCCCACCTGTGCATCTTCAAAAATCATCTGAATCTCCTGGTCCTCATCTTCAGTGTGCTGTTGGGCATGCAGGTGCATGAGTTCAGGTGTTCAGACACGAACAGCTGCGGCAGGGTGAATCTGCTTAAATGAGCATTAAAGATAAACATCTCTAAGGAAGTTAGTCCTGTTCATTAGACACACAGCTCTGTGATGAGACAACTTGGGAGTGCTGCATGGTTTGGAGCAGCTTTGCTTCTTACCTGCAGAGCCATCTTGCATTGCACGTGGGAGCTGTTAGGCTGATTTTGGACAAGCTGCACATGTTAAATTCTGAAGCTGTTGGCTTAACAGTCTCATCACAGTGAACGACCTGTCTTCCCTCCGTCACAGGTGGAAAGCTCTTTGTGTGGAGATAGAAATATTCACAAAATACTGCTGCTTGCACAATATTTTCCTGAACGAGCCTTCTTATAGCCTGTTTAAAATCAATTCCAGTTTTGGATAGTACCTGGTACCGAGTGAAAAGACTCTTTCCTCCCTGCATTTTGGGTGAGAGGGGATGCTCTTCAGCCTGCTGGGTGAGACTTCAGCAATAGCTCACTTGGACCTCTGTACTGCGGAATCCATGGGGGAGAAGTCTGCCGAGGTCAGGAGAAGCTCAGAGCTCCTACCTCTGTAGGTTGTGAAATAGCTTTGTAGGAACTGAGATCATCCAGCTAGGGACAGATGTTTCTATGAAACCAGATGCCTTTGCTTTGATCCTCAAAAAATTACATTTCGGTTTACTTGGTGAAAGGAGGACCAAGTATGATGTGAACCACTGGTTCCTACCATCAGTTTTGTGTTCTGGAGGAAAAAACCTGTTCTGTGCCAATAAATGTTGGTGACAGAATGTGAAGAGCCCTTGTACTGTTTTCTAAACAACGTGTTTCCTTCTCATTGTCCCGAAAAATGAAAATTGTAACAGAATAGTGTAATCCCGTGCAAATCTGTGCATGCGTTTGAATGTATCACTTTTTGGTTGAAGGGAGTTTTAATTCCCGTGTCTCCTGTGTTGGTGTAGACAGAACTTCCAAAAACACATCCTTTGACACGCAATTCTTGAGATACTTATAATATATTGGTTTGTTTTACACCATTTTCCTTATGCATTTTGTACTAAAAAATAATATGCTGAAAACTGCTTATTGAAGCAGACATCAGAGAACCTAAGTGTTGTTAGTTCATTAGTAAGTAGTAGACTTTGCTACTGAAAGGTTTACAGATGTGTTGGTATCTAAGCATTAAGCTGAAGAGCAGCATTTTCTTTTTTAAAAGCTTCATATCAATAATGCCTTCTGAGGGGATTCTTAGATATGCCCATGGAGAGTAAGCCAAATAACTTCTCAAGTAGATTTTTTTTTTTCCTAGCTGAAGTAGCAAACATTGAACTATTTTTAAAAAAAAAACCAAAACTTGTTTCTTTCCATCCAGAGAGGGAGATTTTTTTTCCAGTGAGTTGTTTTTGAGATCTGAAACTGTGATATATTTTCGTTTGCAAGTGGATATTGCATCTTTAATTGTATTCTTTTTGGACAGAATTGCAAATTTCCACAGTGACCAATGCAAACCTAGTGAAAATAATTTTGGATCTGTCACAAGTAATCAGAATTCTAATCTGATGACTTTTGGTCCACTTTGGCCACCTTTTAATGCCATGGTAATTTAATTGTAAAAGGAAATTTGGGGGGCTTGGAAAAAAAAAGTTTGACCTAGGAATGCCTGTCAGGCAAATCTAAGTGTGTATTGAAGCTGCCTAAACTGATCTCTTACAGAGGGAGGCAAAATCCAAGTGTCCTGGATCTACTTTGTTGGTAATAACATAACTAATTTGAGTTGCTTTTTGTATCTAGTGCCTAATTTTTTTTAAAATAAGACTATTACAGTTTTGGTTTGTCGGATAATCACTGAAAGGAAAACATTGAGATTATAATGCAGTTTCACTGGATCCTAGTTGCTGAAGTGTGTTTTCACTGTAAGATAAGCTTATGAAGTATTGCCCAAGCTAACACAGTAAATCTTTCTCAGAAAACATGTCTTTGCCCAGGGTGGAAATATTGAATGGTCATTGGATAACCACTGCAGTAAAGGGTCAGAATAATTCATTTTTAGTTTGGCAAAATGCAAGGAATTTCTTCCCACCTCCCCTGCTCAAAATCCTGCTTCTCTCACAAGTTAACTCTCCTTTAGGATTGCCTCCGTGGCTCTGCCATGTTGTGGGAGATGTTCGTGTCTCCCAGCTCAGATCTTCTAGACCACCAGACTCCAGTGGGGCCTCGATACCTCTCATCTTCACCTGCCCACCCATCAAGTTCCAGTTTCACTGGAGGGAAGAGGGATGTGGAATGCAAGGCAGGGGCTGTCAGAAATGTATTCAGGGGACTTGGGTACCAGACCCTTATGGCAGTTTATCACTGTCCTTGTTGAGACTGAGATTTTTGTGCAGAAAGTTCACAACTGAGCGAGGTGGACGCTGGATCTGGGTAGTTGTCCTTTCTGAGCAGAGAGGTTTGTCTCATTGCTGGTGCTCTGCTGTTGTAGACCTCCAAACACTAGATGCAGCCCTGATCCTGACAGAATTTTGACTTCAGAAGGAGCAGCTACAACCTACAGAGAAGTCCACATCTCTTGGCCCCAAGAGTACAGAGTTCCTTGTGTGTCGTCTTGCCTGTCTTGTTTCAGAAGTGTTGCCCATCAGTCAATGTATGTGATGACCTTTTAGATACTGAAGTTGATGAAGGAAGATGGGTAGGAATAAGTAGATGGCTGGGGTTTGCCACCTCCTTTCTTTCTGTTGATGGTGTAGTTGTAGATCCCAGCCTCTGTCTGCTGGAATCTCTAAGATTTTTTGGGGAGGGATACTGAAACTGGAGGGACCCCTGATGAAGAAGGAACTGTCCAGCCAGCCCTGATTGATGCTGGTTGTGAAGGAAAACAGCAGGTTCTACCATGTGCCACATGAGAATTTAGATGCTTTCTGGTACCTGTACTGGGTTTGCATGGGGCACAGTTTCAGCAGCGCGGGGGGAAATGCCCTGACCCTGCATCATCTTCATCTCAAGCAAAGGAAGGCCTGGTCACCCATCTGCTGTCACCCCATGACAACTCCCTCCTGGTGCTTCTGTGCTTTTTTGGAAGTGTGTGTGTGATACCTCCCAAGGACACCACTGCTGGCTCCTTTTTTGACAGGGAAAGCTGCTTCCGTGAAAAAATGCGAGCGACTTTTTAGAGACATGAGAGCTGGAAGGAGGACTGGAAAGGCGGCAAGTGCTCACAGGGGCATGTTCCTCTTCTCATTCTTGCCTGCTGTGCCTTGAGTCGGCACTGTCATTCTGTTGTGCTGGGAAAGTAGCAAGTGCAGCTCTTGCTTTTTTTTTTCCTCAAACACGTTTAGATCTGGTTTCTCTTCCAACCAGTATGTGCTGTTATGTGAGGGAGTGTTCACTCCAGTAAAGCCCTGGGCTTGTGGCAGGTGTGCCTGGGCACATGGCCTTTGGAAGGCTACCAACCTCCCCTCTGCCCCTGCCAGTGTTTCTTTGTTCTAGCTGTCTTTGTTCGTCCTGTTCTTTGTCCTAGCTGTCTTTATTGTTGGCACACCATAAACCCATGATTGTTAACCGATGGCTTGAAAATTTGTAAGAAAATAAAATGGCTCCTTGCTTTTATTCCTTACTGATTGTCTGATATGACCTTTAGCTGGCAAAGATCTGAGAGGAGGTAAGCAAATGAGGTGTGTAACTTGGGTATCCCCACTTTTTCAACTATTTATAATGAATGTGAGCAATTTTTTTCCCCAACTTGTTTGTCACCATGTAACTCTGAGTAGTTTTATCCCTTAGTAACCCTGATTTTGGCAAATCTGAGTTCATTTCAGTGGGAGAAGTGAAAGAGATATGGATTTGCTGCTACTACTACTGCCACTTTTTTTAGGACAGTAGATTTTTATTTAAACCCTTGAATATCTGTCTCTTCTCTCAGCCTTGCAAGCAAGTCAGTAAAGATAAACTAAAATTAAAGTCACTTAGATTCTTCCAAAAAAGATGATCTCTGGGGAGACGTGAAGTCTGAGGAGCTTTGTATCAGAAGGCAAACTGGGGATAATTAGCGGCATATGAGAACCAGAGTTTGTCATTAGAGCGATCGCTGTCATTGTCAGACGACCGCTGGGGTAATGTTGCCCGAAGGCAACCCGGGCTGTCCGCAGCGGCATGACCATCTGTGAACGTGCCCCTGTGATGGTGGTGCACAGCCGTTCCCCTCGGGGCAAGCTGCTCCCCCACTGTCACCCCAGCTCCCCCTGTGCGTCTCCCCTGGTGCCCTGGCACTTGCTCAGCGCTGCTGGCAGCTGCAGCCTCCCCTCCCGTGGCCCGGCCCCCTTCATCCGTCATGTCACCAGCAGCCTCCATCGAGGGTCCCCGTGGGACAGATGGGTGTCATCTGTGGGCCAGGGTCTGTGTGTCACCACTGTTCTCCTGGAGGCTTTCTGGCGTGCGTGAGCGCCATTGGCCTGCTGGAGAACAATCTTCAGTGAAACGTTGCTTTATCTCATGTCTTCTAAGGGAAACAGTGACAGCTGTGTCCCTTGGAACTTGCAGTCAGTGCCACAATCTCTCTTTAAGAAAGCAAAATTTCTTTTGAACGCTCAGAGCTTGATTTTACACATGTGCTTGAGATGGATGTGATTGCCATACAAGTGGAAAAAGGCATCCATCCTCCATGAGCCCTCTGGAGAAAAGCGTGTGGATGTTTCCATCTGAAAAACGCTGTCAGAGCAGTAACCACAGGCTCTCAGCAGGGTACAGCTCAAGAGGGGACCGGTCCCAGCCTTCTCCATGGCAAAGATGACTTTGGATGTTTGTAAATGCTAAACGCATTCGGTGTGCCAGCCACCTATAGCAGATACTTTCAAATTCAGACACTTGGATATTTGAAAATTGCAAGCTAGAAATTACTTGACTGTTGATTTAAATATTCTTGGTATCTGGTGAAGTGATTTCAGGGGGAGGGAGCTGTTTGTCATATATAGCAATTACTTTCATTAGACTTTTTCATAATCCTGGTCCGCAGCTGAAGAGTGTCAGCTTAGTAGATATGGTTTTGAAGATAAACATGCATTTTATAACCTTTTATAATGTTTTTAAAGAAAATTAAATGAATGTATGTACTTAAAGGACTACTTATACAATGTTAATGACTTCAACTAAGAAATGCCAGGAAATTAATGTAGTTCTTAATATTTAAAAAACAGAATGTGTTTTCCACCATTTTGTTTATTACGGCTGGCATAATTCTACTTGTAAAGTTGGGATTTATTTCGATTTTTGTTGTTTTTCAGCAGGTCTGCATGAGAAGTGAACATGTATCTGTTCTCTGTGGTAGCCTGAAGAAATAATAATTGCTTCATGCTTGGCTATTCTAGCACTTGAGAGATCTTTTTCCTTTCAAATAAGCTTGCTACATTCACTTTGTATTGTAGTTTACAGCAAAGACCCGATATGAATTAGTCATGGCAATGTGCTACAGTAACTGTTGTGTTTGTTTGATGCAGCGAAGGCTGTTGGGATCACTGGAGCGCACAGAACAAAGCAAGACGATGGACCCAAGGTGAATGATCCCAGGCTCCTCCCAGATAAGTTTCTTCAAAGGACAGCCAAGGTAACTCCATGGAGAGCAACAAGTGAGCACGTGTGCACTCCCAAAGGCTGAAGCAGACCAGCCCTGGCCTCCCTGCAGTCTCCATCTGTTGATCTTTGAATCTCACTCCCCATTTCAAAGAGAGTAATTGTCCGATCTGATAAAAATCAAGTGTCTTGTTATTTTTACCAATTACCCTAGTTTAAATTCCCTTTGTTTGTTACGCAAAATTACTTAGCAAGATTGAGAAAAAAGATTGGATACTAATATGAGCATCAGGATATCCAAAGTTGTCAGAATTAATTCTTACAGACTTTGGAAAGGCTGTTAGTGCTGTTGGTTCAAGATTTGAATCAACCTCTGAATGTTAAGAGACCAGAAAAGGACTACTGGGTCAGGTCTCTTCCACGTCTTGTGCTTTCCTTTGCAGCCTCTGATTCTGGTCCCTCTTTGGGCTGGGCTGCCCTCTGGTCCCATCCAGCGTGGCAATTCAGCGCTCAGAATTGCACAGAGGTGCAGCTCCCGAAACCTTCTGGAAGGACTCTTCTGTATAAGCTTAGGAAATCGGCTATAATATTTCTGTTATCCAGTGATTTATTATGGTCTACAAAAATATAGCCTGGATGAACACCTCTCTGGAACAATTATTTAGTGATATTGTAATTTATTATTCTTTTCAAAGCCGTCTTGTATAAAGGTAAAATAACCCCTAACTTCAGAAAGCACAGAGAGGAGGAGAGAACTGCCAAATTCCCCACAGCACATCCTTTCCTGTGGTTAGTGTTGGATCCGCCAGCGGCACCGTTTTTGGACTGGCCTGTTCTGTGCTGAATGTCGAAATCACAGGCCGAGGATACAAATGAAAGATTTTACAGGAGTTGCTTGTATGTTGTGGCTAATTCCCTGCATTTGGAAGCATCTGCTTCTTGTCTGGTTTTGTTCTGTAATCAAGAAAATTGCTGTAGAGCTAGCACTTGGAAGGCACTTAGCTCTTCTATAGCCATGAGCAAGATGGCAAGGAAAATACATTGTAACTAGGTACTTGGTTAAAAAATGCACACACACATATATACACATGCAGAGAAAACATGATATAGGCCTTGTGATTTTTCCAGATATTCTGCTAAGCCTCTGTGTATCCCTATTCTGTTAAAGAAAATAAGTTTCTCTGAAGGTTTTAACTGTAGAAACCTTTGCCTCTTCCAGGTGGTCTATATTTTGGAAAAGAAGCATTCCCGAGCAGCTACGGGCTTCATCAAGCTTCTGGCGGACAAGAACAGTGAGCTCTTCAGGAGATGTGCCATGTTCTCACCTGTGGACCACAGAGTGCCCAGGGCCTATGTGTCCTTGGCTGATTGCCCTCCAGACTTTGTGACCAGGCCTGAGGACTATTCAAATATGCTCTTCATCTGTCGCATAGTGGACTGGAAAGACGACAGCAACTTTGCAACAGGGTATGTGGCTGCCATTGGAAGTGGAGATGACTGAGATTTCTAGTTGGAGTTCTTGGTTTTGCTTAGTTTGATACATGTGATAGACATAGGAATCTGTTAACAAGATACTTGTATCCCTCTGATATTTGGTGGATAAACTGTGACAAGGCTAAGCATAGCTCATTGCTAGTTAATCTCATGGCTACAAAATGGTAGCTTCTTTTGGTGCTTGCTTCAGTGTGCTGGAACATCACAGCGTTAATGAGCGTACAGTCTTTGCTTGAAAGAGCTTGCAGTCTAGAGGGAACACACATGGGTACTTAGTTTGACTGGCACAAGCACTGTAGGGTGCTGGCAGCCTTTCCATCCTTCCTCCCTTTGTTTAAGAAGAGTACAAAGTGTGTAGTCATTTCACTTCTGCTAGAGGAGGAGGATCAGTAGCTGTGAAGCTCATCTTTGGTTTTTAAGCCTTTACTGATAAGAAGTAGAAAAAAGTCATGATTTTTGTGCTTTTAAATTTGCATTGCTTCAAGGAAGGATACTAGAAATCAAGAGAAGAATCATTCACTCCTGAAGCAGATGAGAAGGGTGTTGCACTCGGTGTTTTTCAGGAGGCAATGTAAAGCCGTTGCTGTCCAAAGTTCAAATTGCAGGCACCACTGTGAAGGAGGAGATTTTAAGCCTACTCAAATGGCCTATGCTGGACTGGATCTAGATTGCAAGTTAATTTTGCTTCTCCTTGAGGAAGGTTGTGTCATTTTCAGCGTTTTCACTCTTTCTTGGCTATAGCTGCAGTGTGCCAAGCGCCTACCTGGAGTGGCCGCACTGTTTCCTATCAAGTGGATCTCAGTAAGAAATGGTGGGCATTGATGCATCCATTCGTTATCTTGGCAAAAACTGAATAGTCCTGGTTTAGTTGGCGATCCAAAGTAGATAACTGACCTATGGCAATGCAGTGGTCAAATTTTATAGGTGATGGAGATCTTCCCCTTGCAAAGCTGTTCCGATAGGGCAGCACAACTGACATATGGTCTCAGCATCGTAGTTTTTGGAGTCCTCAGCTCAAACTAGTGGTAAAGCTTAAAACTTGCATAGAACTTTATTTTTTTTCTAAGAGTAAGTATGTTGGCACAGATCTATCAGCCCTAGAACTAAAAGTAAACTAAACCGAAGTCTGTGTTTCCCTGAGTTTAAGTTCTTTATCACTTGTGGCTGCTTTGTGTGCCCAGTAATAGAAAGTTTCACGTGTACTCCTGGAGAACCACATGAGATGTTAAGTCACTCAGTATTTCCTAGCTAAACTGCAGTGCATAAACTGAAGTGGGCTCCCTTTGTGCCCCACTTAACTAGGGGCTGGCTGTGCTGTGAACTTCACTATGACTAAGTTTCTTATTGGCAGAGTTTTTCTATGTCGTCTCTGACTCCAACAGAGAAAAGGCTGGAGGGTGATTGTACTGCTTGGCTTCTTGTCACAGACAACCCCCCTTTTCAGCAGAAAAGGTGGAAATTAGGAGGATGGGCTAATGTCTTTTTTCATTGGCTGATATGTGTGTGTCTAATCCGTGCTTCTGACAACACTGTATATTCTCATCTGGCTGTTTTGGTAGTTTCCAAGATGTAAAGGGTGTTGTCAGGAAAGAAAATGTCCATGATTGTCTTTATACATAGCCATTTCCTCTGGGACTTGGTTGCACTTCACTAAGTGCCTTGTGGAGATGGGAGCATAAAACCTTGGTGACCCATTTTGTTTTTAACTATAAATACATGCTTGTTTAAACACTGAAAGGCAAGGAAACCTTGAAGGCCCCAAAAGTTCCTGTTTGCTTTTGAGCTGGCTTATAAGCTTGTTTCTAAGCTGTGTTGCTAGTCGTGGCCCACCTGAAAGACAAGAGCAGGTGATCTGCAGCTCATTGCGTGCTTGGTTTTCTGAACTTTCTTGTGCACCCCTTAGTTCTCCCACAGACTTCTTGATACCCCTTTGGCGGAACCACCATGGTTCGGAAGGTCCCTGGACTAAAGAGCCTGTAGGTCATCACTCTGCACCATCTAAGTCTGCTGGAAGTACGACAAGGGAAACTCCCTCCATAGTTGGCAGTCATTTCCCCGGATGCCTTGGGTGTTTCCAGGTACTCTCCATCCTGCAACTGAACTCCCTCAAGCTGGTCATGCACCTTCCTCAGCTTTTCTTTTCCCTTGGGAAGTTCAAGCACAATTCACAGAATATTCTGGTCTTCACAGTGACCGTGTGTGGCTGGAGCAGCGGGATGCTCTGGCCAAGAGTTTGGCGGTGGCACTGGCCATCCAGGGTGGTCACCTGCACAGGGGCAACCTGACAGTCCCTGAGGTCCCCTTGGGGATGGGGGTGCGTTTCTGTGTCGTGATTGCCACCTGGTGGTCACCAGTGAGACGCTGTCCCCTCTGAAGGCCACCCTGTGACCCCAACTGCCCCGGGAATGAGCAGGGAGGAACCAACGGTCCACGTCCTGCTGGCGATGCCCTGCGTGTGTGCTGCTCTGCTCCCTCCTGCGTGTCAAGTGAATTTACCATGACAGTGAAATGCCATTTAGCTGTACCTGCTTCAGGTAGCACATAAAGCAAAATAACTCCAAAATATTCTCCTTTTCCAGATAAGTATTACAAGTACTGTCATGTACGGTTATTTTTTGGGGACCTTTACTCAATGTTGGAGTCTAAGGTTGTTTAGAAAATCCATCCAGATGTCTCCACATTTTTGGAGGTGGTTAAGGCAGAGTCTTTTTTTTTTTGCCCCTACATATGATGATGGATAAGACTATTAAAAAACAAGTTAGTAGTAAAATGTCAAATCACTGACTCCCTCTGTGGTATACAGGGCTTGTGGCTCTTCTAGGTGTCTGTCAAGGTGACAAGATTTTTCACGGCATTTGCAATAAAATAAAACGTGGGATGTTCTTTCACTTGATGGTCTTTCCAAAGCCATCCAAGTGGCTTGAATTCCTTTCATCTCTGGCATTTTATTCTGGTTTTTTTTAATTCAAAAATGTATTTGATGTGAGGGGAAATGACTAGATACCTTGGGTAGCTCACTCTAAGGCTTGAGGGAAGGTCTGATCCCCAAGCAGTGTAGCTTGTTGGAAGAACACCTCCTTGCAGATGTGACTGTCTCTCGGGAAAGCTGTGTTCCCTTGGCACAGCTAACCACTGTACTGCTCTGAAGCATGGGATGTCCCCACCTTCATGGTGAGCACTGTGCTGCTCCTGTGCTTTGATGGTGGGTGGCCTGGCAGCTGAAAGGAAGCAGCTCCATGGTCAGAGTGGGGCTGGACTGCGCTCTCAGGTGCTGGTGGTTCCTGTGACACAGCTCTGTCTCTGTGACACTCAGCCATGCAGACATCTCGCCATCTCCACTGGGACCTTTGGGCTTTATCATGCCTGTGCAGCTCTGCCTGCGAGCTCTGGGTAATGGGAGCAGCTGGCTGGCCTTTCTTGCTGTCCCCTCTCCTGCTGCTGTACAAGCTTCCTCTAGAAGCGGTGGCTTATTGATGTGTAGGATGTTTTCCTGCTGCTGAAAGAAACCCTCTGTGTAGGGTGACTGTGGGCAAGTCTGCTCCAGGGGAGACTGAGTAAGGTTGTTAAGTCCCTGTGAAAGTTACTCCCATTTGGGAGCCTGACCGGCTTTCCAAAGGAAACAAGCCTTATGTAATTACACTTTGTCTTTTTGGAGAGTTCTTATCGTATAACCTTTGAACATGTTGGCCAGTTTCAGCTGTAAGCCTGAGGAGCGGAGAGGGCTGGAATGTTTGTGGAAATGAGTGGCCAAATAGATGCGATAGTGTCACCACGCAGGGGAAGGTGGCAGCATGAGTGTGGCTCTGCGCCAGGCGCACACGCATGGGAGGCCAAGCTCCATGAGTCTGCAGCTCGGAGCAGAGAGATCTTGCAGCTATGGCTGTTTTGAAGGAATACCCTGCGCTGCCCAGCGCCCCGACCATGGTAGGTTCCCATCAGTGCATGCTGCCACTGCCTCTGACATCAGCAACCTTCCAGCATGCTCTAATGCTCCCCCATCAACATCACAGTAAAGAAATATTCACCTCTGTAACCATTATATTTTATTTTTTTTTTACGTTTTAACATTTAAAAAAGAGAGATACATGAAAGCCTGGGGTGTCACAGACACCGTGACTCCTTGGGAGCGAACGTCTGACTGCTGCTGGGCCCTGTGCCTGTTGTTGTTTATAAGCCTCTTGAACTATTCTTGCTACCCTTGGTGGCCGCGGAGCCCCATGAGTGATTTTAGAACCTGGCTGTTATTCCAGGGCCATTGGTGATCCTATATGCGTTACCTTTGATCACATGCTGTCCTGTCAGATTTTGCTCTGATGCAAGTCATCGTGTCTGCGTGACTGTAACATGGCCCCAATTAAAGTCAGTTGTACACTTTTTATTTCAAGGTACTTGGGAAATGTTCCCTGGAACGCTGTAAATCAAATGTTAATTACTATTAAAAAAAAAATATTAGTCCTATATCAAACCTCTGGGTAAACCCTTTACAGTTCATAATCTAATTTAAGTAAACGGATCAAGAGAACATGGGTTTCAAGACTGAGCTGGAAAGCATTCAGAGGCATTCAGAGGTGCCTTCCATGACTTGTCGTGCAGACATCCAGCCGCCCTCCTAGTGCACTTCCCAGCTCTGGAGCACCTGAGACTCAAGCCCTTGCCATTTCTTTTTGGTAGGGCAACATGTCCTCTCTCTTCCTCTTTTTTTTTTTTTTCCCCTCCAATCCATCCTTGGTGGTGCTGGTGGGCCTGCGGACCCTTGGGCTCGTCCTTGCTCAATCTCCCAGCTCTGCATGAGACATTGGAAATGAAGTGGTGATTTCTCTGGTTTATTGTTTTTGCTGAGAGAGAGGAAGATAAAACTGATGCCTCATTTATTTACATTAAAATAAGGATCAGGCTGGGATCAAGCTGCAGGAACAGAGAATTCAGCCTCCATGCCAAATGCGCACGTATTTCTGCCATACAGTTTGTACATAAAATTGAAACAATGGAAGGAAATATCTTTTATCCTTGTTTTCATTTTTATTTTAAAGCTAGGCAATGTGAACTCTACGATTTACCACACCGCGAAGCGCGCAATCCTTTCCAGCGTACTACACAATGTGACAGGTTTATTACGCAGCCCTTCCCGTTGTGAGGAGAGAGAGCTTTGCTCCCATAAAGAAGATGGGCTTGCTTGTGCTGCATGGATGGGGTTTGTTCTCTGGGTTTATGGCACATTTGAAGCCCTGAGAGCATCTTGCTCATCCAAATGACAAGTGCACTGTTTTGGCCCCAATTTAGGAAAGTAATTAGTGCCTGTTTTCACTCATTGGAATTAAAGCAGAAGGATCAATATAATGATTGTGTATTTTATGCAGTGGAAAAACACTTATTAGAGTGGCTGTTTTTTGCACTTGTTATTACCCCTCTCTTTTGTGTCATATTTTGATGGATTTGCCTTAATTTCAGTCAGGATCATTATCTCTATTGGCTGTAATGTCCCATTTGCCCTAATGGCAGTATATTAAAAAAAAAATAAAATTTATCTCTGTGTACTGTAGAGCAATCTGGGGGTGAGAAAGGGGACAAGGGGAGCCAACATGAGACATAGGTTCTCATGTAGTATTTGTAACCAAGTAGGGAGGGAACAAATGTCCCACTTCTTTGGAGTCCCAATTTGCTTGTTGTGTCCAGAACCGAACTCGTTTGACACCAAAGCGCTCAGACAAACGTGTGCTGGGGTTTGCACTGGAGCAGATGGAAACTTTCTCTAAGCATAATAGAGCAGCAGCCTCATCCGCACATGTGCAGAATACTTCATCAAAGACTATTAGCATGTGGGGGGCAGTTTCCCCTGTCTGACTTGCTTCTAGATCGTTGGCTCCTCTCCAGTTGGCTCCTGGTTTAGAGGCTTCTGCTTAGTAAGGAGAGGAGGGACAAACTACTGGGAATGTTTCGGTCCCAGAAAGAGCCTGGAAAATGATTGGAAAAGACAATATGTGGGCATGTCTGTGTGTGCAACTCCTGTAAGGAAGGCAGTAAAGGTTCCTCACACCCTATCATGTCTTCATAGGGCATCAGTTTGCCCAGGCAGAGAGGTGTATCCTTTGGGATGGAGAGCAGTGTGCTGAGCTCCCTGGGAGCTGTCTTCTGCAGAGCTGTCTGGGATTTGGTGGGAACCTGTTCTCCATTTCAGATAGTGGGGAGTGAGTCATGTTTTTCAGCAGTGAGGAGAGGAAGGAGGATCTCAAGGGAACCAGCCGTGTGTAAAGCTAGAGCTGCCTGTGTGGAGGGCTGTGCTTTTCTTATCCCTGCTGGATGTATTTTTTTTTTTCTAAAATGTGACACTTTCTTACGTCTGCAAAAACCTAATAATATGAAATGTCTCCTTAAAATCAGATACACAAGACAGTCCAGAGTACTGTCTGACTAATGTTTTGCATCTTCAGCAGACATAAGTCATGGTATGGTCTGAATTCCTGCAAAGTCCTGTGCCAAAACTCAGGGAGAAGCGGATGGGTGAAAGAGTACGTCTGAGGGCTCAGCAGCCTCTTGCAGGGACAGTAACAACGTGACAGTACTAATTACACACTTAAAAAAAAGTGTCCTTTTCTTTCTTTCTGCAGGCAGTTGGCCAAAAGTCTTGGGCAGGCTGGGGAGATCGAGCCGGAAACGGAAGGGATCCTGATGGAGTACGGTGTAGATTTCTCTGACTTTTCCCCTGAAGCCCTGGAATGTCTTCCCCAGAGCCTGCCCTGGGTTATCTCACCAGGAGAGCTGGCCAAAAGAAGAGATTTAAGGTAACGACAAAAAACACGATCTGACTCTCTTTCTTGGGTTGTTGCAGGGTCGTATTATTTTGTTTTGCTTTCATCATGCTTTGAAAAGGCACTGACTTTGTTACATGTACTGTATTACACATTGTCTGCGCTAGCATGGAAAGAAACTGTTTTTGAAAGTACCTACAAACCCAGAAGATCAGTTATTTGGAGAAGTATTTTGTGAGTCAAAGAGGCTTTTTCTCAAAAGAACTATTGAAAACTGAAAATTTGGTGTTTGGCACCTAATCTGAAAGCTTTATGTTTTTGTCTGGAATGTATTACGTATTTTAGTGGTAGTTTTATAGCAGAGATTTTCTGAATGCCTGGCAGATCAAATGATCTTGGACATTGTTACTTTGAAACTTAAGCACAGGTAGAGACTGTCCTGTGTTTTCCTGTCTAGTCTCAACATTCTTCTCTGTTTTGAAGAACTGGTGTCATATGGAGTTTATGACGGCTCTTGATCAGGTTAGCAGCTGGCAAATGCAGTCCTTCCCTGCGGCCCAGCAACTTTGTGCTGTCCACCTACTTCACATTACCCATCCCTGTAACTTAGTGATGCTCCCACCAGCTTTTGGGACCTCCACAGTCTCTTGGGTGGTAGATAATGGCGTTGCTGGTCTACCCAAAACTAGTGGATTTGCTACGCTTCCAAGTGTCAGGTTTCAGAGACATCTTTACTAGAAAAGGTTTAAAGACAAAAGAAAAGTAATTTGTTTAGAACCTCACTTTGCAATAAAGGAAGATGCAAGAAATCGAAACAATAAATGCATTACTAAGATGATACAGTGTGTTCCACTCCCATCCTTGCTTATACTGGAGCATCCTGTCTCAGCTGGCAGATACATCGCTTTCTTGCATATTGCTGAGGTGAAACAGCCCCGTGAGCCTGATGCCTCAAGACACTGCACTGGCACAAGCACCTGCATATATGTAGCAAGCTCCTCTCCCTCTTAGTTTGTCTGTGTTACTGGCATGGACTGTTAGCAAATTGAGTGTATAAACTGATATGCTGCAGCCATTTGCATCTGTACCTGGACTCCAGATGTTACTTTGGACCTAATCCTGCACTGTAGCTTGCACCCCCCTTACTGCTTCAGCTTTACTGGGTTGCCATTGCCATACAATGGAATAAATCAGGGGAGAATCACACTCCTGATTGACTAGTGGTAACACTCAGATACCAGATCCAGACTAGGCTGCAAGTAGTTTAAAAAAAAATAAAATAAAAAAATACTGAAAGCTGCAGTTCGGAAGTCACTGGAAAGTGCTTATTTTTATATTCTTGACTACAGTAGCGTTCTCTGCTTTTTCTGACCAAGTTCTTTCAAGCAAATAAAGAGCTTGACTTGTCTCCAGTCAGACAATCAGTTTTGGAAACAAATTCCAAGTGCATTTCTTGTTTTTGTTGCTGAATTATTACACTGGGACTTATCAAGGTGATAACAGTTTTGCAGTTAAGCCATTTAAATCCCTCTCTGCCCCTTCTCGACCACAGTGCACACTACAAAGTAGATTTCCTTTTGATCCTCTCAAATATAAACATTTAACAGTCAAGGTTTTTAAGACAATTATTTGAGCTTAATTTACTAATCCTTTTAATGTCAGCTGCCACACCGCTGACTAACTGGTCTGTGGTCTAAACACATATGGAGATAACATGAGACTGCAAGCTGTGGAAAGTAAAATACAGATGAATCTTCTTTTTTGTTTCCTCACAGTGAGAGGGTTGTCTACCCAGGAAAAGATGAGTTTTATTAGTAAACGTAGCATGAGTTGTGGCTGAGCGGGGGCCTGCGGTTGGAGACCTGGCCGCCATCTCTTTTGGTCTTGCCCATCAGACCTTGAGAGACTGTGCTTGACAGGTCCCAGGGTGGCTTGGTTTTAACGTGGTGTTAAATATTAGCTTTCATATTGTCAGCAGTAAGTGTATTGTGGTGTGCAGCGTGGTATGAATAGCTAGTGCGCGCTGGCCCAGGCTAGCATCCAGAGGAAAACACCTGAACCTGGGTATCTGGTCTGGGCGGGAGTTGTGCCTTATTTTCCAGGGGAGCTCACACGTCTTCAATGGCACCTGCCTCTGTGAGTGCCCCTCTTTGCTGCACCTTGTGCATGTTGATCTGTCAGGGTCCCCAGATACTGTACAGTACTCTGAGAGTACAATATAAGATAAATTACAGTGAAACAAAGGCTCAGCTTTCCTCCTGAAACAGACATGTTAACACTTCTAAATAGCTCATCCTAATTCAGTTTACACATTGCTCACCTGACGAGAGTAAGCATAAATTAGAGTTTGGCTTAAAAATACTTTCATCTGTAGTAAATCCTCTCCAGTAACACAGAGCTATAAATTTTCTAGGGTCGTGCATTCACCCTTTGGGGTTTGGAAATGAGACCTCAAAGTCTTGGGTTTCGTCTTCCTGAGATAACTTTTCCTTGTTTCCTTTCACCATGGGAAATGACCCTTTTCTCCTCGAAAGGTAACCTGTGTTCTGCTAACCAGTGTCTCGAGTGTGGTCGGGTCTGTTTGTGAGTCAGTGTATAGAGCACGGAGGTAGAGGTTCTGCACCAGAGGCATTTGTGAGTGTGGTTTTAGATGAAAGTGAGACAATGTGTTTCACCAAGCTGCTGAGGCTGGGCAAGGGGAGGGAAGGATATTTTGTCCATGCCATCTTGTAAATATGTTCCTTGATCTTCCTGCAAGTCTTTCAGTTTTACAGGAAGCCTGTTCTTGCCATGCACAGTCTGTTTGGATAGCAACTGTGATCTCACCTACATAGCCTGTGCAGAATTGCTTCCAAGAGATCTTTTTTTTCCTCATTTCTCCAGCAATGGCTCACAAAGAAAGGTTTACATAATATTTTAATATTACTTAAGGCAGAAAAGATCCAAACCTCGTGGATGGCTTTGAAATCTTTTAACTGATTTAACTCTCTGCTCTGCCACTAGTGCACAGTTTTGCCACGGACACCTGCTTTTTACCTGCATGGGTTTATCTATTTGTATAGATAGTATATAGGGAAGTATTTCACAGGCACTTCCAGCTGACTTGTTTGTAAAGAGCACCAAAAACTTCTAATGAAAAGCACTAGGCAAGTATTAGGTATTGGCATTGTGTACTGCAGTTGTGTTTTATAGAGAGCATGAAATTTCATAAAATATCAGAACAGTGTGGTTCAGGAAACCTCCCTTCCAGCGACTTTAAATGTGATAATACAGATAGGACCAGAGTTCTCATTTTATTATTCAGGTTGACTGGAATTGGTATTTTTTCATTAGAAGTTAGAGAAGTGTTTAGTTTCTGCTTTTAGAGAAACATTGGAGGACCATTGTCATAGAGACAAATTTTGGTGGGTGCAAAGTTTCAACCATTTTCCGGTCTATTCTGGTGTTTCAACATGTAATTTTCATTTCCTTGTTTGCTTTGCATTGCACTTAGTGTTTCAGTGGTGTGGGACAAAATATAGCCCCTGAACAGAAGTGGGGTCAGTGCAAAGGAGGAAATGCAAATTTCAGAGGGGGGTGCAGGAGACGGGGGCTGGAGGAGCCATTTGAAGAGGTGTTGCCAGGAATCCGAGGAACCCAAAAGCTATTTCTAAGACTCATTCCAAATGTTTCTAATTTCATTCATATCTTTTTTGTTTCCTTTACTGCTTAACTGGGACAAGAAATTAAAGCCAGGAAAGTCCGATCATAGTGGGAAACAAAAACTTAAATATTGGAGAGAGAAAAAAGGCCGTTCTTTGCAAAGCAGTTCTGCCTTTTGCTAGTCTCCCATTGTTGGTGTTGCTGTGGAAAATGTATAACATCACTCTTTTGGAAAGCGCTAGAGCCTGTTCAAGTAGAGATGGTTTATATAGTCTAACATGGAAGAACTTGAGGATAGCTATTTCTTTACCATTTGCCTAATAATAAGTGAGCCTGTTGACCTCCGCTGGACTATTACAAATGTGAAACTTGGCACTCAAAATTGCTTGCTCTAAATTTTCCAGTTGCTTTCTCTTTTTCCATTTGATGTCATCCTGCCAACTAGTGATTTTATTATTATAAACAGGACATTGTATTCACTTTTAAGAAGAAATATGAAGCTGAAGGTAAAATTACAAACTGCAGTTTCTCAGCTGGCAAAATACAAAACAATGAGCTAAAAATACTGAGCAGAGAAAGGGTGCTGTGGCAAGAAACTCTGAAATATCTACAAGATGGATGTGGTCTGAGGAGCAGAAACTGACTGACTTCAAATGAGCAGCTCTGAACTGCTGAGAAACGCCAACTGATTGAGGTTGGAAGGCACCTCTGGAGATCATCTACTTCAACTCCCTTGCTCAAAGCAGGGTTAGCTAGAGCAGGCTGCTCAGGGCTGTGTCCATTTGGGGTTCAGATATCTCCAAACATGGAGATTCCACAACCCCTCTGAGCAATGCTTTCTGGGGTTCAATTGCCCTTACAGTAAAAACGTGGGCGCTTTTTTTTTGCTTTTTTTTTTCTTTTACTTTTAAATGGAATCTACTGTATTTTGTGCCCATTGCTTCTTGTCCTCCTGCTGGATATCACTGAGAAGAGTCTGGCTTTGTTGTCTTTGCTCCCTACCATCAGGTATATTTTCACATTGATAAGATCTCCCTGCCTGAGCCTTCTCTTCCTGAAGCTGAACAGTCCCAGCTTTCTCAGCCTCTCCTTGTCAGTTGGATGCTCCAATTCCTTAATCATCATCAAGGCCCTTCAGCAAACTTGCACCAGGATGTTGATGTCTTCCTGGTACTGGGGAGCCCAGAACTAAACTCAGCATTCCAGCTGTGATCTCACAAGTGCCAAGTAGAGGGGACGGTTTGAAGGACTGCATCTCTTGACCTGCTGGCAACACACTTCCTAATGCAGCCCGGGAGGCAGTTGGCTGCCTTTGCTACAATGGCATGTTGTTGGTTCATGTTCAACTTGTCCATCAGGACCCCAGGTCCTTTTCTGCTGAGCTGCTTTCC